CAGCGCGATATTTTGAGTGAGAAAAAACGCCATTACTTATGGGGCGACCCAATATTATTATCATAACGACTTAAACACTATCAAATGTATTGTAAATTAACATTTGTAATTATCACTAGAAGTCTTACTACCATTGCAGTGATGCGGAGCAATCATAAGAAGTGCAATTACTTAATGTTATTTTGTAATGTTAATGAATTACCCCAATGAGCAGCTTATTTCACGCCATCAAGAACTAAGCATGAGTAAAGCTCACTGAACATATACTCGGTGAGAATGGTTCAATTCGCACTATTATCCACGAAAAAACCGACCACAAAACGTGAATTGTGGGCAATACACAAACGCGAGAAACGGGAGTATGCGCGTGTATTGATACAATTCACGCGGCGTTCAATGTGTTAAAGACACCTTTGACGCGCATCGGTTGGGGGCGAAAATGGGCAGACACACTCACACCATTGTTCCTTCCACGTTGTTGCGGTCTCTCCAAAGGAGGACGGCTACGCAAGGTACAAGAGCTCTGAGGCTCCGCCCATTTTTGTCGACTCCGCCCATCGCGTAGTGTGTCTCCAGTTTCAAGTTTGTGATGTGATTTCGTTTTATTTTCTCAGAATACGAATTCAGATTTTCGGTGTGCGTGCAGAGCCTGTCGATTCGCTAAATGTATAAGAGTTGGTATGAATGCAAAAGGTTGGTTCTGTTCTCCAAAATTGATACTACTATATTACTTTTTTTTCATATAGCAACCATATTTAAGTCTGCCTAGCCCCAACAGGGCATCCTTTCACATTCATCTGTGTTATGTTTCTTTGAGGAAGGACCCCCACAAAGAAAAGAAGATTTCACACCTAGAGGGAGGAAGACCTACAAATTGCTTCCTCGAATTCCCCTCTCCCCTCCGAAAAATTTAGCAGATAAAATATAGTTGTCATAAGCAATTCATTGGGACTAGCTTGAAGTTCAAATAATGCACCAATCACCTACATCTTTTGGGAAGCACATTGCAGTGACATACATCGCTATATTTGTGTGCAAGGGTTCGTTCAAAATTACTCCTGTAAGCGATTTGTAGTTAGTCAGGTGTGATTTCGTGAAGGGGCGCAAAATGTTATTGCGAAAGAATGTAGACGTTTCATGTCACGGTCCTTCACAACCCCTATGGCTGCGTTTATAAATACTTTGCGGCGTAGCGTAGCGCTTCCAGCGTACGCCAGCGGCAGTGTCGGGAAAGGATAGATATCGATCTAGCGTTCCCAGCGTCACCAGCGTACGCTAGCGGCACGCTAGCGCACGCTGGCGTAG